TGCAGTGTAATGAGCTTCATTGTCTTGATCTCAGTGGCATCTATCTCCTCCTTTGACCAGCTTATTATCCCAGCAGGGTGTCTAATCACTGGCAGAGCGTAGGTGTTGATTGCCTAGATCTTGTTCTTCCCATTCAGCTGACTCCTTAGGACTTGCTTTACTCTCCGCAGGTATTTGGTGATTGTGGCTTTCCTAGCAGCCTCTTCACAATTCCTATTTGGCTGTAGGATTCAGAGGTCATTGTAGCTGCCCTCAATGTCTCTAATGCTGTAGCCATTTCCTTCTGGTAGTACAGTCGCTTCAATTCGGACTGCTCCCTCTCTAAATTCACAGCCTTTGCCATGACACAAAATCATATTCTGTACAGTATATAGCCAAAGTTTTAACAATGTAAGTATATGACTAAAACCTTTGCTAGCTTTGAGGCATCCACTGGTGACACTTGGGCACTCTCTGACAACATTTCCTCCTCTGATTCAAACCATCACAAATTCCACCACCAAAATATCACTGTTACATTTACAATGGAACTGAATGCAAAAATCCTAATTAATCATGTTTGTAGGATCTATTTAATAACTGTTCTCTGAAAAATGTGTCCTGTTAAAGGGAAATTCATATAAATACATATGCAACAAGGATATCTACCATTTCCACACTTTTCAGTCCAAACCACTTTGCACCACTTTCTTATATCCTGACAGTAGCTTTTTAATGCAGAAAGAGAGCTTTACTGTAGCACAAGCTGGCTGATGAAAACCACAAACCACTTTAATGGAGTTGCAATATTCATGCTGACTTTAATATACCACACATTGGCATACAAGAAAAAACAAGGGCAATGGCACACTTGAGCATGTGACACAGTTACCTTCTAAATTCAATACAGGGATGTGTCAGGATCTGACGGTAAATAACGTTTTGTGTTATGCACATCGTACAAGTCAGGTGTAAGAGATTCTAGGTTTAAACAGTTGAAGCGCTTGATATAAAGCAGGTGTCCTCTGGATGAATCAATTAAGCTGTTGGATAAATCTATAAATCTGGCTTTAAAGCTCCTTTACCTTTAGTACCTACTCGGATCGACTTGACTCAGATCAACTGGTTTGCAATCAAGTACCATCGAATGTCCGTGGTTGTCGTCATAGCCATGCTGCAGAGTGTCCAGTGATGTAATTAATATGCGACACGAACACTACAACAAAGATTGAGTTCAAGGCAAGAACATACCTGCTGCTCAGTCTGTAGCTTTTCATCGGACTCTGGGACCATGGCATTGTTTTTTGTAGCCATTTCCCTTGTTGTCGGGTTTCAAAAACTGCAGTTTTGATTTTCGTGAATGAGACGCTCTCATGACTCGAGTGACGCCACTGACCAGCCAATCAGTGGCATGCAGTCTGACATCACATTTTAGTACCTGCTCAAATCACTTGGAACCGCAGCCAAGCAGGTACTATGACCTAATGGAAAACCCTAAAAACAGTGGCGAGTCGATCCAAGTTGGTACTAATGGAAAACGAGCTTAACACTGTGAAAGGTAGAAGATCCAAAACACAGAGAACAGGTGAGGGAGAGAGATGAGTTAGAGAAAGAATTGACAACTACCCAACAGGAAAGAATTGAAAAAGAGAAGACATCCACGAAGGAAACAGCTGTAAACAGCATGTAAAAACTGATGAAGTTCTTAAATTCAGTCTCAAATTTGATTGCTTTTCTCAGGTCAGAGTAATGTAAATTTGTGACTTTAGTGAAATAGCCTTAGAAACAAATTACAACTCAACACATGTGATCAATGAGCTCTCCTACTCAAAAAAAAAAAAGCAGCACTACACCTCTAGCTCTCAGTATTACAGAATGCAAACTAAAATACAACCAAATGAGCACAGCTAACCTTTATCAACTAGACCCCCCCTTAAATACACCCAACCAGTCATTATCACTTTGGTTATCAACCGTGCCGTCAATTAACCATATCACCGATTGTTTGCTTTCCCGGTTTGACTGGGAGTGGCCAGCACAACATAACTAGCGGTCTAGCTGCTAACGTTAGTTACTGAGGGCCATTAACTAGCTAACTTAGCAACAACAGTGACAGTTGCTACGTTACCCCGTTAACCGCTCATTCAGGTCCAACCCGCATCAACACACACGGCTATCGCTAATGACAAATAAACATTGTTAAACATGTCGTGCAAAATTGTATTATGCATAAGTTATTTTCAAAGTCAAACCTCGCCGTTAATTTATTGTCGGTTGGTAATAGCTGTTAGCTGGTTAGAAACAAGGCTACAAGCTAACCTTCCATCCCCGCCAACATAACCAGGCCTAACAGCGCAGTTCGCAGCTACACACATTACATCACAACTAGCTCCGATTCAAACGTGATTTGTAGTTGCTTAAAATAATAATAATATTTAAAATCTGCAACATAATACCTGTTTGCGTCTTTTAAAAAATACGATGCTGCTTCCCCAATTCGATGAGGATGATAAAGATCACTGAAGCGGGGTCCAGCCGAGTTTTATACAAGTGCTTCCCTGCCTCGAAGGAGATTCAACACTATTTCCGGTACAGAATAAAACAGACAGTTGCGCTGTTTCTTATCCAATTCAAATTATAAATATAATTTACAGAAATTGCGTATTCGCTAAAAGAAAAACTTCGGAAAAGTATTTCTGGGCTGGGATATGAAAATATTTGTTTGTCTGTCTGTGGAATATTCGTGTGTTGAACTCTTATTTTAAACACAAATGAACGCCCACTTCCGATTTTGCTAAATACGTCCAACTTCTTTCAGCTTTTTCAAATTTCTCCAGAGCCGGACAGACGGAGGCGGAGCGGAGAGCGGGACACCACCCCGACGACGTCACTCCAGTGCTGAATCACTTTTAATATTTAGTCCGACTGCATAAGCAACCTGTCATGGACAGTGAAGAAGCAGCACACAAACAAAATGCTACCTTTATACAGTGACATTTTACTTATGTGACTACTTATTCATCTAATGGGCTTCCTTGTTTTTCACTAGACGGAGACAGATGTGGAGAGAGATTGGTTGCGTTTGAAATATGCTCCGCCTTCAATGTGTGAAATTCCTTAGCTGATTGGAACAACGCGTGCATTGCTTTCTCAGAAGAGATTTCATTGGCTACTCTGAAATTAAGTCTATCTCAAAACTACTAATGTCTATGTAAACACTACTTGTTTGTTTCGTGCACGCCCTTTAAACTTTAGTGATGAACTATGTTATGCCAAAAACCGATTTCCGATGTTTTTATGTGTATTTTGCGGTCGAATATTTTTACTCATATTAGTAAATAGACAGTAGTGAACATGATTTATGATTGGGTTATATATAGAAGAAAGAAATAACCTGTTGTTGAAGTATCTTTATAACTCTGCGTATTTGTACCCACATTGCCATCAATGCAGTCATTTTTGGTCACTTTAAGTAAGTTTATAGAACTGTGGTGTTATGTTTGTTACAATTTCTGCTACCCTCTTGGCTTGATCTCTTTCCAAAAACACATTTTTAATGTCAACGACACTTTTTATCCGGGTAAATAAAGGATATATAAAAGTCTCTCCAAAGCTCAGTGCAGAATTTGATGGCCACCATAAAATGATTGTGTCGTGTCAAGGTAGGTAAAGGTAGGTATCTCTGAAGGAATTAGGTTCCCCTGCATGTGGAGCACGCGCTGGGCAGGGAAAGCGGATCCAGTTGACTCCGCCTCCATTCCAACTAACCACACGTGGAAGTCGTGACGTTTTAGTTCAGTGAGAAAGTAAAAGATGAGTGTCGTTAAATTACCGTTCAGTTTGTGGGTTACAACAGAAATGATACATTTATTGTTCTCAGGTATTATCGGACTGGATTATTTCAACAAACCGACGACATTTTGCCTGGTAATATGTATCCTCCTGTAACTTGATTGTATAAAGAGCTAAAACCTCCAAAATTTCAGTAGTAATAAGTCATTATAAGAAGTGTTTGCGAACTAAAAATCAAGAATGACGGATACTGTTTGTCCGTGATTTGGACAGCCCAGCGCATGCTCCCGACACAGGGGAAACTGTCGGGATCCCTACCTTGGCAACACACCCGTTCACTGTGGGTTGTTGCTGTTGTTGACAACAATAACAGCTGACAATTAAGCTAACATTATGCCCGCTACTGTCCAAAAAGTATCGTATTTTCACTCTGATAAACAGTTTGATTAAATTCTCACACCAGATGACAATTTATACTTATACAATTTATATTTTTTATACTTCAAAGAAGTAATGCAGTAATGCAGACCAGCAACTAACAGCAGTAAAATATCACTTACAGAAAACTCACCAGAGTATTGCTGTCAACAGACAGCAGTTAGCTTAGGTGACTATTGATCTCTATCAAAATGTTACACAAGGTTTTACAGCTCCCTCCACAGTAAGACAGATGTGGGCACTTGACATTTTAAAAGCGGGGGTAAAACAGCAGACAGTGGCCCGCACTCACTAGGAATCAACCTTGGCGAGTTTTTGTGACAAAAATGTAAAATAACGCAAAATATACAATAGACACATAGTCCTGTTATTTCTGTCATTCCTACTGCCCTCTGCCAAGGTAAAGAGTAGAGATCATTTCATTTCATTTGTTCATGTTTTAATTACATGAGCACACACATTTCAATATCATCTGGACATAGCACACCAAGGGCCATTCACAGTTTATTTTTTTAGTGATGGCTGTGATTATCAATACAATTTGTAAATGTTTGTGTTTATTTAAAAGGGAAAATACTTATTAATTAACATGAGCACTTAAGCTCATCATGTAAATATGCCAGATTTACCCACAGACTATTTCATCTGCAATCCCTGGCAGGTTAATGGCATATTAAATAAATCAACAAACCAAACATTTAGAAGCGTGTGAACATAAAACGTGTGACATAAACACATGTCCATATACCATTATTAAAGATCAAACCCTATAATCACTTACACAC